TATTTGGAAATTTTCTATTTTCTTTCCATATATAAAAACATATCATTGAAAGTTCAATACAGCCATCTGTCTTAAAAAAAAAAAAAAAAAAAAAACATTGCCAAGTTGAAATGATCTGAATACATGAGCTTCCTTGGTGTCTTAGGGGTTAAATCTCTGCACTGTCACCACTAAGGCCTGGTTCAGTCCCCAGTGTGGGGTCTGACCCATATGGTGCAATAGACCTCTCTTGTCCATCTCTCCCACTGCTCCCCTCAGCAGTGTGTTTCAGCCAATCTACCTATTCTGGTCTCCATTCTGTCTTTGGTGAATCCTCGCATTCCCCACACCATTGTCCTAAACCTCAGTTCTTTCACACAATAAATAAATCTTTTTTTTAAAAATAATCTGAATGTAATGCTTTGGATTTTAAATACATTTTGATGGGCCCTAAACTCTATTACACAGTAAAATGAAATATGCTGAGAATTGAACTTTAAATAGCCACTCTTTTTCTAATATCTATATGACTAACACATAAAATTTATTTCTTGAATTAAAGTTTTCAAATGCATAACAAAACCAAAATACTTCCTAAAGAGGAATTTTCTAGATAATCTACAAAGAATGAGTTACAGATAAACGTATAACTAAAAAAGGAGACTAGAAAGATATCAAATTTCATATCAGAAAGCATTTTTCTCTGTTGATTAATGATAAAAGTATATGTTATAAAATAGTAAGTGCTCTAAATAAATAGTTCTAGAATGCTAATGCTGGTAAAAAAAAAAAAGTCACAGGAGTAGAAGTAGGATTTTTGCTTTGAAGAAGTGTAATACAGGTGAGATATCATAGGCCATTTACATAGCTATTGTTCTATAGGGACAATATTGCTTAAAGAAATTCAAATTCTCTGTAGTGTTGGCTGGTGTCCCTCAGAGGAGTGAAGATTAAGTTCTTAAACCATCACCTCCTTGATAAATTAAATCAAACACTAGTTATGACTTGAAACCAAGAATTTTCTTCATGAAATAACTTCTGAAACATCCAACTTCCAAAAAGTAAAATTCTTTAAAGAGTTTTTTAAATTCGTAAAGCATGCTTACAGATTACATGGGCTACTGCAAGGCGGCATTAGAGACTATCCATATGAACGTGTATCTTACAAGGAAAAGGGAAGCTAATGGGCATTTATGATAGCTGAAGAACTGCACAGCACTCAGGCAAGCACTGGTCACCACAATCTACAAGACTTAGAAATCTTTTGTAAGGGAGGGAAGGGAAGCAAATACAAAAACTAGTCCTTATTTGTGACTATTCCATTTGTGTTGCAAGATTTACTATATATCTATCCCAAATTCTTTAAAAGGTACAATTCAAACTAGCTTTCTAGAAATTCACAATTTATAGTATAATAGTTAAGAACACGAACTCCAGGTTCTGTATCTGATTCTATCATTCACCCAGCTGCATGACCTTGGGCAAGTCGTTTAACCTACCTGTACCTCACCTTCCCTCTCAAAAGGAGATAACAACAGAATGATGTCAGAGGAGTGTCGTATCAAATTAGTTTCTCCATGTGAAATCTCAGCATAATGGCTGGAATTTGGTAAGTATCATATAATTAATGGTGGTGGAATGGCGGGGGAAGAATTCAAAAATCCATTCCAATCAGAGCACAATGTACAATAAAATGTCTGGGGAAGGTCAATTAAACAAAGCAATGAAAATTCCAATCTAAGTAACAGCTGAACACATTTGAGGATTTTATTTACATTTTTGTTTTCTATCAGGATTACTGTTTCAGAAATTCACATTACTACCCATCTGAGCAAGTCATGTGCACAGACAAAAGAGTAAATCGTTCTGTAAGGTGTTGCCCAGAAACAGTAGACCTTGTTAAGTACACACTTAATAAAACACCAGCCAAGAGGCAAATCTTGTTTGCCAGAACACTGTGAACTGCCAGGTCTGTAATAATAGCCCCAATGGCCACTCACCCAAAGACTCCCCAGCCAAATATCGAAGTAGAGGACTTAAAGTACCAGCCCTTAATCCCAGCATGTGGACTGTCCACTCCACAGCACACCTAGGGCCTGCTTCATCCAGCTCAGCTCTCCACAAATGCGTGGTGGGTACACAGTCCCACAAAGACCACTATCAGTCACCTATTTTGTGCAACTCTCAATTATAAGAGCTGTGGAGCCCTAAAGAGATTCAAATAATTTTATCTGGTCCTAACACCCCTCTGAACAAAATATATCCAATTTTCAGTCCATTTCTCTATCACCTTCTCATCTCTGACTTTCTTTTCTGTCCTCTAGAAACTGCTTACCATGCTTTAGTAAACAAAAATAAATAGGTTTTTTTTTTAACTAGTTGTAAAACACCAGTGCTTAACAGCACACGTTGCATTTCTGATCTAATCCCTACTTACACACAAACCAGGATGTTCCTGGGAGATTTAGACCAAAGTTGATTTTCCTCTCTGTCAGTGTTCTGAGTGTCCTTGGCCTACAATGAACATACAATACTTTAAGCATAAGTACATTTTCTTAGTGTTTCCCTGGTCTCCATCTAATTCCTTACATATGGAGAGACTGGTTTTGCATATAATCACTGTTTATTTCCTTAGTACATTTTCTATCTCCTGCAAATATGCTGCCAATTGTTTAAAAGCTTTCTACTTTGAAACATGAGTCAATAGAATAGATGGGAGAGACATAAACAGTAAGAGAAAGGCTGCTTTCAAACAAAATGATTATGGTTTAACTCAGTTTTCGAATAATGCCAAAGTCAGAATGCAAAACCATGCTGACAAACATAGAAAGCACTGCAGATGGACAGCTAATGAATCAATGAACAAAGCAACATGTATCTAGAAAAAGCATTATGTAACCGGGTCTCCATCCTACTAAAGTTGCAAGATGACATATTAAAGGAAAAACATTCTAAATTCTACCTGATCTTTTATTTTCTTTTAAATCCCAATGAATGATCCCATTGTATTACTTTATAGAATTACTTCACCCTCTCCTATATGCTGACAAGAAGTAAGAAGGTTACAGCAATGACTAAGTAATATAATTATTCACTACTAAGAATCAACTTTTTTTGGCTTAATAATAAATCAACTTTCAGGCAGTGTCAAAATTATTTCTTTCTAATTCAGTGACACTGAATCCCATCAAGACTTTTGTTGCTGAAAAATTATCCTCCTAAATGACCAACTATGTATATTAAGCATGGAAACAAATCTGTGTCCAGTTCTGGAGATCTCTATACTACTGATTGTTTTATGTCTCTGAAACATTGTGCTGTGGGTGATTTATTTTACATCCATGTCGCCAGCCATTTGTTTATTCTATTGCATGCCATCTGTTTTTCAGTAGAGAGGTTTCAAGTTCTTCTCATTCCCTACCTCATATCCCACAGAAAACAATTTATAATAGACATAGATTTCAATCATGTGGATTCATGTGGAGTTGGTAACTCGAGCTGCCGTTCTTTTATATTTGGCAAATGCTTTAATGGGATTAGCAAATTGTGTTATTACAAAGTACTTACGGAGACACAACACCTCTTTTTACAATGACAAATGTTGTTAACAGTCTCATTTAGGGTGCTTAATAGCAGCAAGAAGATTTCACTAATGTTACAGGAAATTGCCCTGATAGATAATAAAGTCCTACCACAAACCCTGCTCCTGTCTTTTATTTATGAGAGCCAACGACTCTGTGGCTTAGGAAGTAGTGGGGTCTACAGTGAGGGATGAGGATCGCTGCCCTGGCTTGAAAGGAAAGCTACCATATAACCTACCTGCCAACCTAAAAACCCTGTCAGCTCTTGTATCTCAGTGGCAACCTCCAAGCCCTCCAACCATGGTCCACATGGTCTCTCTCGTCCAAATTCTTGTAATTGATAGCAGGGCACAGACTTCCCCAAGAAAAGCTTATGCCACAGCTCCAGCTCACCAGCACGAACATATTCCCATTCTATAGCCCACTTCAATTTACTCAAAAGAAGAGCCAACCATTCACAGAAAGAACTTCTTGGAGATTGGAAAGACATGGAAACAACCCAAAGGTCCAAAAGCAGATGACTGGATCAAAAAGATGTGGTACAAATACATGATGGAATATTACTCAGCAATCAAAAAAATAAACACGTGCCTTTTACAGCAACATGGATGGAGCTGGAAGGGATCATACTTAGTGAAATAAGCCAGAAAGAAAAGGAAAAATCCCAGATGGTTTCACTCATAGCAGGAGCATAAAGGAGCAGGGGAGAAAAAAAAATAGTAATGAACAACTCTATACCAGAGACATTTTACGGGGGTTAAGGGGGTGGAGTGGGGAATAAGATCAAAAACTGTGGGGAGGGAAGTGCACTGGACTATGGTGACGGCACATGGGTGATTTGGTGATGGGAAGCCCACGGGGATTACAACTGAGATGGGAAAAGGCACAAGATGATGTAAAAATAAACTATTATATTATTAAAAAGAAAAAAAAAAGAACTTCTTGGAGAAACTACACAGATGACATTTAAAGGATTAATTACCATTTTTCCAAGCATCCTTGGTGCTTCGGTGGGGAGGCGGGATCTCGTGGCAGGACCCAACAGCTGTACACAGTTCAGGGCTGACATCGGAGGGCTGAGCGGCTTCCATTTCAAGGTCTGCTTGGCTTTGACTAGTCCTTACCGATTCAGAATCAGAAATATTTAGGGGGTAAGTGACATCCTGATGGATACCTGGTGGAGTCGGTCTGCTGAAAGTGTTAAGTGACATTTGTACTAAAGCTTCATTGATGAAGAATGAATTTTGATGACATAAACTCTCAGATCGATTAAGCTCCATTACCTGTAAAAGAAAGTACAGAAAAAGTACAATAATTTCTCCAACAACTTGCTCAGGTTTCATAAAGTATTTATTCCTAACAGTAACAGCAAGAGTTTAATAAGTGAGATTGTGACGATTTCCCCAACTCCCCCTCTTAATGAGATCTGAAATGTCTATTCGCTACACATAGCATATCTTAAAAAAAATAATAATAAAGCAGAAGTATTCTTTGCCATTAAAATGTTTCCACTTTATTTTGATCAGAAAGAACAGCCTTTTCACTTTTCACTAAATAAAGTTGAAGACTTGCACAGGATAAATGTAATTTAGTCAATTTCAAAAAAAAAATCAGATGCCACATAGATCTGATAAGGTCTCAACTTTCAGAACTTTATGCCCTATCAATAAAAAGCATGTGTGCGCACTACATAGAAAATTAAACTCTGGGGACACAAAGGATCATCAAATATGATTAGAGAACAGAGACTCTTACAAAATTGTTTAACCTACCGATTGGCCGAGGCATTAATTAGCATTCTCACGTGGCTGGGGAAGGGGATTTTGAATTTACTGTGTCAAATTTACAAAAAGAGAATAAGCTTGGAATGACAATAGCATTATATTGGCTAAATTCAGGACCCATAATGCACATTAAAGTTGCACTAAAAACAACACCTGTCCAGCAGTACTTGGGAGACAAGACAATGTCAAAGGGCCCTGTTCACAGGAGCGTGCCCCCAGGACAAACTTGCCTCACGGGGACAAACCCACCCCCCCATTCCCACACCCATCCAACAGGACCCAGGCCTTTCCACACCCGTTTCGAGTCAACACGCCCGCCCGCGCTGTCTCTGAAAAGTGTCAGCCTCTGCAGCCTACACTCTCACGAGCTCTTACACAACCAGCAAAAAGACAGACGTTCGGTCGCCATCTTGGGAACGTCCATGACTAAGCCAGTGTGAGAAGGCCGCTTCCATGCCGCTGGCTCAAGCACAGAAGACCCCTACCTCCTTGCTTCCTGGCGAAAATGCTGCGGGAAGGCTACTCTGCCGGCTGTGTTTCCAGCTGCACAGCAGCTTCTGCTGGGCCTGCATCCGCTGCCTCTCCCGCTCCACCAGGCGCTGGCCCTCCCTCAGCCGCTCCAGGTTCTGCTGGTACTCCTGCAGCTGCTGGTCCAGTTCCCCGCGGTTCCTGAGCAGCAGCTCCTCCTGCGCCCGGCACTCCCGCTCGCGCTCCTGCAGCCAGCTCGCCCTGGCCTCCTGCTCCCGCTGCTGCTGGTCACACCTGCGGTGCCAGCGACGCTGGTCCTGCTGCAACTGATGCTGGAGCTTGTGGATGTTGGCCAGCTCCTCCCGCCGCTTCTCCAGGTCCTGGAAGGGGCTCCCTCGGAAAGAGGGAATGGAGGATGGGCTCTCCTGCTGCTGGAGGACCAGCCTGTGGATCTCAATGTGGCTGTCCTGGATGGTCAAGGCCGCCTGTGGGAGCAGAGGGACAGTCAAGGCTCCCGCGTTCCACCCCCTTCTGGTTGGGACCACTGCTGAGCACAAAAGGCTCGACCAGATGACTTCCTCTTAATAATTCTGCCCTTCCTCCAAGGTACACCCCAAGACAGGCTTTGGCACTTCAAGGAGGCTGGTCTATGTTTCCTAGTGATATAGCCTGGGAATTTATATACAGAAGAAATGAAGCACAAAAGCAAAGCTCCCCCGTTTTGGAAATGTGGTTTGTGGCTGGTTGTTGGATAATATTTAAGCAAGTCTTCTGAGTAAGAATCCAGTGCATAAATTCACAAGATCTTACATTCCTGTTCTGCCTCATTCTGTTTCTGAAGTCTTTCCAGTCAGTAATTCATAAGCATTTTTAAGAATCTCTATAAACCAGGTAGAATCTTTTTTGAGTCCCAAACCAGAAATTACTTAAGCTGTATTACACATATGGTGATATAAAAATAAAAGTCAGCCACTTGGAGACCTTTGGTAAATCATCTTTTTTTAATACAATGCCCAAAAATAGCAGTTAATAGCATATCTAGGAGATATGTAAGTGGTAAAGCTAGCCTCATGATTGCTGTCTTTGCATTACAGCAGGAAGGTCATGCATACAAGACTAAGCTGAAATTCATTTGTTTAATAGATTGCTAACAGGAGGCTGGAATGATTAAGGAAAGATAGATCCACTAAAGCCCAGAGGACATTACCAACCAGATTAAAAAAACATTTTGAGTTACGGTATCTGCCTATGAAATGTTTGGCTGCATCACAGGAAACAATTGCCAAAATTTGGAAGGATTCCACAAAACCCAAAAAGTCCCTCTGTATGCCCTTGGAAGCTTTTAATTTTAAAAGTTCCCATTTAAAGCACAAAGCAGCACAGAAGGGACAAATTGAAAATGGCCTCATACTGGGTATGTATGTGTGTGTTGACTCATTATGAGAAATTATTGCTCTCCTAGGGATAAATACACATTTTTCTTTCTTAAGAATTTTTAAGACTGTCCATGTAACAGATGCTGGGAAGACAGGGATTTGACCATTAGTTCTTTGTTACATCAGCAGTTTCCATAAGTCAGAAGGCTAAAGAACTAAGGGATATTTTAAATTCGTGCTTGTTAGAACATGACTCGAGTGTCTCTGTTGAGGCCTTTTGAAATAAAATTTATATTTTCAAATTTGAAAATTAAAAGTTTCTAATTCACCTGAGTATTAAATGTGTTTTTAGAAGTTATTATCAAGCAAACAGTGATTATCATTTAGCATATAGACTAATTACTTTGATGTTTAAAGATGCAATAATGAGCACATAAATAATATACCATTCAGGACTCTGCTGACCTTGCCAGAGAAAATTGTAGACTGTAAGTCATCAGCTAATGCTACTACATAAACCCCAAGGGCATCAGTGCAACAACAAACAAACAAAAAACCCAGTATTTTATATGTCAAAACCACCACAGACAATGATAACCCCATGTAAAGGCTACAGTCTGTACCAGGAAGTATTCTTCATGTCCAATTAACACTTGGAATAAGAACGGTACATTCTCTTTTCTGCAGAGGTAGAATTTGAAGATTGGAGATTCATTTTCACACTTAAAGTTTTCATTCACACTTAGGAAAGAGAACAGTACTGCTTTTCAAGTTTAGGGAAATTCCTAATTCACTCTCTCAAACTTTTCTTACCAGAATAACTCTGTGTTCCTTTCTTTTCTGCCGCCCCTATACCTCATATTGAGTTACAGTCTCCTGATACACAGGGATCAAATCTCATTTTCATCAGATTAGAAATACTTATATAAAAACTTCAATAATGCATAAGAGAGCCAGTTTCAAAAGAGAGACTGCCCTGAACATAAACTTCAGAGCCACAACCTTTGAGCAGATATAGAGCTTGGTTCAGAAAATCCACTACAGAATTTTAATTTTCCATGTTGCTTCAGCCTAATGTGTCACAAAAATTAGGACATTTAGATCACCCGCTTTTCTGAATATTGGCTCCACCTAGGACTACATTCAAGGTAGAAAAGATGACACTGGAAGTATTTTTTCCAGGCAACACAAGTCATGTGGTCAATGTTTTCATCTCCCAAAAGTTAATGAGCTATATCCTTGAACTATATACCTTCTCAGCTAATTAAAAGAAAATCTGCTTTAAATGATAAATTAATCTTCAAGAACATCTACTCCATTCTAGCATTACTCATGTAGGACGCTACAGGCATTCCCACTAGATCTTGATTTAAGACAAGAAAGCTGTCACCACCATTGCTGACCACATTTTCAGAAAATCACACCAAAGCAGTATGCCAAGAAACAACAGAAAAGCTATTAGGTAAAAAGCAATAAAATTCAATGTGTTGGCTGGTTACAAAATAAATATTTTTTAAAAATCAATAACTTTTCTTATACTAGCAACTACCATTGAGAAAGCATAATAATGAAAAATATATTCTCAAAAACAACACAAAGACAAAGACTTGGGAACAAACTAAGCCCCTGCTCCACCACCACCAAAAAAATATAACAGTAACACAGCATATACATGAGACAATTGCAACGCTTTCTGGCATAAGCTGAGATGACTAGCAACATGTTCTCAGACAAGTGAACTAATTGTTCTACAAGTGCCAATTCTCCCCAATTTAACTTATAAAATTAAGATTTCCATATCACATATTTAATAGGATGTACAAAACTTCAGCATGTCTCTAAAGCTTTTATGAAGAAGACCTAGATAAGGATAGAGAAATGCTGTATATTTAAATGTAACCCAAAATTTTAATAATGAAGGCACTGGTGTTACAGCAAGAGCAGGAAGGTGACCAATAGAATGTAATTGAAAGAAGGCTTGACACAGCTTAAAGTTGGTAAGAACACATCTGATATAGCATGACTTCAGTTTTTTTCTGGCAAAAACTTAAGTCAATCATAATTTTATCTTCTTTCAGTATTCAACAGGTATAAGATAGGATGGATAGCTGGTTCATAAACCAGTGGTGTGAAGGGAGTTTTAATTTCAACACTAATAAAATTGTAAAATTCTGTAACTTGACCTATTTTATAATGAAAAGGAGAGTAGTGATAATTGATCTGATTATTTTAACAATGTCTACTAAACGCCTAAAAAGAAGAGCTCCAGCAATGGAACCTAAGGAAATATTCAAATATGCTACCAGAGATCAATCAGTGAAGAAAAATAACCACTGAGTGTTTTTAATACAAAAGTGGGATCTATGAACAGCTGTATACATTTCATAGACTAGAATATTATACAGCCGTTAAAATGCTATGATAACATAAAGAGATACCTGTTGTAGAAGAGTATCTGTAAATGACCTCCAAAGACTGGAGAGAGACAAACAAATATGACAATAGTAACTCTCTCTACACAATAAGTCATTTCATTTACTTGTATTCTCAAGTATTTCTATACAGTTATGATACAAAATTGCATTCATATCATTTAAAAATATTCTGTGATCCATAACCAAGTAATTGGATACACTGTCTTTCTTGTGTATGGCTTGTGGTTCACTCGCACCTATAATCCTAAATGCAAGCATGGTTTTTAAGGCTTTCTTTCCTTGAAAACAGCAGCAGCTTTGTGGTCCACGGGCCTTTGTGTGCTTGGCCCTTTGCACAATGGCCAGCACAGAGGGGGCACTCACAAAGCTGGTGACTTTTGTGGATGAACCAACAAGACAATGAAGTCGCACATGAAGGACTTAACCACGCTAAAGGCCTAGGACCACATGTGGAAGTGAAAAGGTTTAGGTGTGAATTTAAGTTTTCACCAGAAATGGGAAGTCATGCTATACTCATCTAGGAGTTTCATTCTAAGTGTCAAACCAGATCATATTCATCAATAATTTTAAAAGATATGAACTGTTTTATGGTTTCAGAGCAGAATGGTGTAACATGTAGCAGTGCCACTGCTTAATCACAAAATCAGGCGAGGTCCATCAACCTCATTACGCTGCACATTTGGGCTGGCATTCTTTTTAGATCATTCACTGCCTCTCAAATGTTCTAATTTTTAAGATCTGGGAATCATCAAATAATGTGAATTGCATTATGTGAAACATTCACAATGTCAGTGATTGGAGGAACATGGTTACCTGAAGGCTGTATAAGAGACGGGTCAAATTCTGAATTGCTTGTATAATCTGCAAAATAAGATTGTAAGTGTCAAATTCTCAAAAAAGCATTCATTATCCACAAGTAGAGGGTAGCGATCCATTTTAGGTATGTATAGCTCACCTCTGAGTGTGAAGAGACTGGAAAATTTCTATATTCCACCTAAAATACATAAAAACATAAGAAAATAACCACTCTACTTTTGAAAAGCCATACGATAGTGTTCCAAAATGTCTGACCTTGGGTGGATCACCTCATCTCTTCTACAGTGCCTGCATCTTCCCCAAAACCAAAGCCTATAGAATTAAACCACACTTGATGAGTGCCCCCTCTATGCAGACTTGGTATTTGAGATGCAAGGTGACTTTTCACTCAAACAGCCCTTAAAACGAGAAGGGGTGACAGCATGGACTCACTGAAAGCTCTAAGTGGCAATATTTACCTTGTGCAAACCACACTGTGAACTGAGCCCAATGGAAGTTGTCTCTGGGCCCAATGGAAGTTGTCTCCTGGGCCTGGTGGGCCCCTTGTATCCTGGAGGCCAAATTGGGGAGCTGGAGAACATCACACCTGGCCTCCCCTTTCTCAATATTTAATAAGATTCAAAAAGTCAAAATTCATGATGTTGGTGGCTGGAAAAAGACAGCAGATCCAAAGATGACCCAGAGGCTAGTGTTTAGCACTAGCAGGCCTGCTGGGGACCCCACCACCCAACCTGATGCACCCTGCTGTGAGATCCTCAGCAGAAGCTCTATGGACAGAGGCCATGAATAAGCCTGCAGGAGGCCAGCTACTCCCTGCGGGCAGGGCCTATGCCTCATTCTTTGTCTCTCCACAGCGACCACTTAGAGCACTTGTGGGTGGTGAGGGTCCCCTGTGCACAGAAGGAAGCATCTGCTGTGCACTCGCTGTCTGTCTTCTCACACTAGATGTGAGTCCATGAATACCAGAACTCTATCTGTACACCCAAGGCTATCTATGTCCACAGCCCTGACAGTAATGCCTGGCATGCAGTGGACACACTCAATTCCACACATAAACTGGGGGACCAAGGAGATCAGCTTCTCCGCCCTCCCAAAGCCTGCTGTCTCCTGTATGGTGCTTGCCACAGAAAACACCCAGTGGTGGCCATGTTCTCAGGTAACTTTCCATTTGTTCCGTCCCTTCAGAATGATGACACGCTGATAAGCTAGCCAGATCTCTCGTCCCCTCCCAATTTCATTCCTAAGGAACACCTCAAATAGGGGAAGGACAAAGGATGGAAAAGGCAACCTTAGAATCATTAGATCTATGTGCCTTCTCCTATGGAAGGTTGCAGGGGCTGAGAACCCCTATTTGGTAGTAAGTTTTAGAGTTCTTTCTGCTCCTCTGATTCTATCCTTGCTCCACATGCCTTTGCTTTTGTAATAAGAAGATTGCATGGCACAGACTTTTTATACCCTATAAAAATTACCGACATAGAACTGAGTTGGATTTTGCTACATGTAGTAACTAATTCCCAAGAACCTCTGGGCTTGATACAAGACAGGAATTGCCAGTTTATCTTGTTAATGGACTTGGATTGCCACCTAGTGGTGAAAGTGCATAGCTGCAGTTGGTGATGTACACAGGCTATTTTGCCTTTGGGTCACAAATTTAATTTTTCAAAATTTAGAAATACGTTTTTTCATTTAAAAAAACTTAATTTACTAAATAAAATAATTATGGAATATCCATTACACACTTTGAAAAGGTTTTCTTTCAAGTGATCCTGTCTTATATGTCAGTGTTTTTAATTTTTCAGAATGCCTTACTAATGGCAAAATTTGTCAGGTAGGTTCTTCCTCAGAGGAACCTGGGCACTTCATCTCACTCACCTGTGGCATTAGGGATGGGGCCAGCACAGCTTTCATTTCAAGAGAAAACTGTTACTAGGCAACCATTTCTTCCTCCCTTCAATAATATAAAAGCAGTTGAAAGGAACAGACTTAAAAATGAAGTTTGCACTGAAAAGGATAGCAAGCAGGAATGCTTTAAGGAGAAATAAATAAAAAGCTCATAGTCAGAATAAGAGGCATAAAATATTGCAATACCATTTTTACTTTGACCTATAAAAATTTTTTTAAAAAATTAAATCAATTATCTTTTCTATGGACTTTTAAAAAATCTCTGTAGTTTGTTTCTTATCGTATGTAACATACAAAACACATTTACATATATATATATAAAGATATGACATTACTTTTTCACATTACCCATAGCTGTCTGATAAGACTTTGATTTTAGAGAAAGTTAAACTCTTGATCCCCAGACAAACCTGGGAAAGCCAGATAACCACATCTCACTTCTGCTTTCTCAATTTCAATTGAATAGGAAGTTTCATGCCTTTAGTTTTTTAACAGTGTGATAAGCTTTGTGAACCGTAAATCAGAAAAATAAATGTTGGCTCCAAGAAAAAATGACCAGATTAAATAAAAGCCTATCACAAAAAAAAAGTAGGTGACAGCGTCAGTAGTGACAGGAGAACAATTTGAAAGGAGAGGGAAGGAAAAGAAAGTGACAAAAGAAAGAATAGTCCCAAATTAGACTTATTTCAGTCACTTTAGCGCCCCCTGGTGGCATCAGGCCCTGGTGCCCAGAGCCACCTCTGAGCCAAGAGTTGCTCAAGGTAGTAGGTGGAAAGCTAGAGGTTCCTGCAGAGCAGAAAGTGAGGCAGAAGTAAGAGCGCAGACACACATAGACATTCGAGTTTTAAATCTTTTTAATCACTTTTCAATTGTTTCTTTGTTCACACCTCCATGATATCAGAGCAAGAACATTTTAAGAAGAATTACTTAAGAAATTTAAACATGAATATTGAAGCTGAGAACAATTCAGGAAAACACTTTCACTCCACTCACTGCCACAGACAGCAGGACCTGAGGTCATTTATCACACAAGGAAACCGGTGCCGTGACCAACAAATGCAGTTCACAATACCTTCTCCCCTGCATCAGAGACCGCCAGGTCGGTTCCCACACCCTGGGTCCCGGGATCCACATCCCAACAGCCTCTTCCTTCTGCCCCTTCTGTGACTAGTGCTGGAAGCACACCATTGAGACAGAAACAAAAAGGACATCATCAAACATCAGCGGTATGAGTTCTCTTGGACATAGTCGACACAGATTTTTGAAATAAGAAACATCACACAGTCACAAGTATTAAATAGGCTTCTGAGAGGTGCTAAAATAGCACAGAGCCCTGCCCTCGGGGAGCTTACACACTAACGAATGCCAACTGACAGCTGGCATTGGCCATCACACAGCTCTTCCTTTTTTCCATACAGAGAGGCATCTGTGTGGTGCTTGTCATGCTGAGAGGGTGAGTCTACATCTCACTTTCACTTAGTAGGAAAAACTGAAATTGTGAATAGCCCTGTAGAACAAAGCCAGGCTGGCAGACCCAGGTCTGCGCAAGGACCCTCTCGGCCCAGCCCGGGGCAGTGGCCGGTAACGAGGCATGGAGTCAGACAGCAGGGAAGCATTTCCCCAAGTGCTGAAGATGCCTCACACGGTATGGTCCTGTGGTCACACAAACTGAAAGCATGCCCGCATCTCGCAATAATTTTTTAACCATTTCCAAGTGCTTTCTTCTCCCCTCCACAGCTCTTATTTATGCTCTCAATTCTGCAGAACTTTAAGGACTGTGTATTTAACCTATGAAAACAGATACATGTCTAGTTCAGAAGCATTACGTACCAAGCCCATGTGAACCTGGTTAAATGTATGCTACAGTCACCTTGCACTCGTTAAAAGTAGACTTCCCAATGCTTTTCACACAGAGTATTTCATGAAAACCAAATCCAGTCGGAATCTAAATGAAATATTTACTCGTGACATTAATTTTCTTCCTACTGCCATCTTGAAACTTTATTTCTGATGAATAAAATATCATTTAAGGGACTCTTTTTTGTTGTTGTTCAAATAAAAAATACTTAGGTCTTTGGGAAACAAGAGTCCTTTATGACTCCAAAGGCCTCTATGACAAAGTTTTTGGTTAAGCAGAAAGTGCTCTAAATTATATATTTCAGCTAAAAAATTAAGTTCATTTTTGCCCAAGTCAGTCAATGCTTACTTAAATCGATGGAACATTTTACAGATTTTTTTCTACCACTCAGAACTGGTTGCACCAGTAGATGGATTCATAACACTAGAGAGATGCCAAATCGTTATCAAGGAAGTAGTGTTCATCTCCCTCTCCCCTGCAGAAATGAGGACAAATAATGAGGCAAGAAGTGATGGTGAAGCAAAGGAGGGTGGAAGGGAAGAAGAGAGGTCAAGTCCCCGTAGTGCTGTGTTCAATTTCAGAGAGGAGGAGAGAGTCTCTGGAATTTTACAGAAGTACATTATACCGGTCCATCCCATCAGATGTACTGAGGATTAAAACTCAAAGGTGCCTTGGCCACAAGCCTCAGACTGACATGGGCCTCACTTAGAAGGCCCCATCCCCCATCACAGAACTGACCCACTCAGTACAGGCCCTCCTTTACAAACAGTAGTTAGCCCTCACCAACGTTATAAAGAGAACTAGCTCTTGCAACCCCGTGGCCCCATGGGAGCTAGCACTGAAGTGTCTGAGTTACAGGCCCCTGCCCCTGGTCCATAGGGTCCTCGCACATCAGGATCAGCCTGCTGGTGGCTCCAGTGGAGGCTAAGGATGTCCCCTGGAACTCCCCCAAGTCGTGGGAGATGTGGGTACAGCCAGGGAGGGCAACGGCTGTCTGGCCTGGAGGGTGGGGAGGTATGGCCTGGGCTCTGAGCAGCTGCAGGAGCCAAGAGGAGCCCTCCCGCTGCCCCTGAGGGGGGCTGAGCAGCAGACCCCTTCATGTCTTTTTAGCTAGAACTTCTTCAATGCATAATGAGGTTCTCTTAGGGAGGAAATCACCCAGGGCAGTGCAATTCCCCTGGTGAATCTGGGCTGAGTCAAAATGAAAAGCATATGTGCATGTTCAGAAACTAGAAACCCAGGATTAGATAAAGCGAGTCTCCAGAGGAGAAAATGATCATTTTTGTCAGTTTAAAAAAATATATAGAATTAAAAAGCTGTGCGAACTCCATGTATCTTAATTAACCAAGGAATGCGTTATAGAAATTCTAAGACAAAGTCATCCTCCAGTCTCTAGTTACTAAAAACTTTTTATCTTGTGCATAGAAGACTTGATAGAAGTCAGATTTTTAACCATCCAAACATGATGAAAAATATACTCATTAGCTTTTCTTTTGGAAGCCTTGAGGGAATTAAATTTCTAGCTCACAAACCATACATATGACAATATCATTAGGCTCCAAGAAATCACCTGAATCAATTGTCTATATCCTAACATCCTATCTTTCTGTATTTAAAATATACTGAAACAACATCTTAATAAATGAAGTCTTAAGTTCATTTATTAAGTTCATCTTAATAAATGAACTGAAGTGATGACACAGATCAAGAACCATTTGGCACTTCTGCTTTTAACTATACCCCAAGAGACAGAGAAAGACAGAGAGAGGGAGGGAGAGGGAGAAAGACAAGTCAGACTTTAGTTTTTTTTGGGTACTGGTTTCCCCATCGATATGTATGAGATTAAGTTTAAGGACTTGCTCTCTAATGAATTTCAGGGACCCATCCTCAAAAAACCCAAAAAGTTCTTTGAGAGTTGAATTCAAAAAAAGGCAAAAATGAGTCAAGATAGGGTGGGAAGAAACCAAGCTTGCCTGGAAACAGGCTGTATGACCTGCCCCCCCTTCTCGGAGTCCTGGCCTCAGAACCCCAGCGTCATTCTTGCGTGTACAGCAGGCTCACAGAGATTCGTTCTCAGATTCTTTTCTGATTTTAAAAAATACATTACGTTCCCTCCACACGGGCAGGTCGTTGCCTCCACTGTACGTGAGCACGCAGTGCGTTGGGGACTGTGTCCAGGCGCCCTGCTGGGACCTGCAGGTTCACTTACAAGGGGTGGGGGATCCCGGAGCCTCCAGAGAATGAAGCGGGTCTGTTGAGGCAGATTCGCCACCGTCTTCCTCAGGCGCCGGACATGCATCACCCACCTGGGAGGCCTTCACTGCGACCTGCAGACTCTCCGCTGAGCGTAAGGAAACAAAAGTGCATTTTAAACACATGTGGGACCCTCCATG